AGCTCACTACTACAGTAGCACATAACTGGAATTTTAATAACCTCTCTGAGGGTTTTCAAGTTCCAAGCACTTTTTATACGCATGGCCCATCGTGGCAAACCAGTGCTCTGAGGCTGCTGCTCCCAGCGTGGGGGTCTTTCCTGTGCTGCCCAATACACTGGATTGGGCTATCTGGCTTTTTTAAATGTTCTGTAGAAGATAAGTGTCACCTCTATAGCTCTTCATCTTGAGAAAAACCTGTTGGATTTTCCAACCCAAAAAGCAGTGGGAAGGGGCTGTGTTTTCTGTGCATTTGAGCTAACATATACTGTTTTTCAGAAAAGTACCCCCCACCCCAAACCTGCAAAAGAACATCCACAGCAGTCACTCTGTAGTCAGCATTGTTTGGGCAGAGGTATAAAGTGTCACACACTGGTTTAATTGCATGTAACACGTAAGACTTTGATTATATTCAGAAAAAGGGAATTTATCTTTCCTTCAGTATCTGAAGTCTCACCTGTAATTGGTAAGTATGGGTTGACTCGTACCAGCTGTGGGAATGAAGCCTTTCCCACTCTATTAACGTAGGCACCTCAGGTATTTCACAATGCATGTGGAAGGCAGCCACTTCCATCAGTAGCCCTATGTTTTCTTGGCAAAATGACAGCCATAGTGGGAGGTGGAAATTAGACTGTGAGACTTCTGAGCTCCATTAGCTCATAGGGGTCTCTTAGCTCTTTGCGCTAACTTATCCTGGGATGTGCAATAGCAGCAGCAGAATCATAACAGGGAATATACCCCTATAATGCCCTTAACAATTATTTCTTTGCTAACCCAAAGCATTAACGTTACTCTGGTTCTATTTCCACAGAAGCAACACGCTCTGTGCTTTGTATTGAAAAACTGGGCTTTTGGCCTGGAGTATCATGGAGAGTTAGCCAAATGCATTCATTTCACCTTTTGTGAAATATCTCTTTCTGGGGTGCAGAGGTTCACAAAACAGTTAAATAGAGAGTATTTGTAGTATCGCTGGAGCCAAGAATGTCAAGAAAGTGAAAGAGGAAGGGTTTGGTAGGAAGAGCTAACATCTTTAATTAGATCAACTGACATCACTGGAAAAAATGGACAATGTTCCTGCACAGAAGTCCTTATTATTCAGCAAAAGAGATTGAGAGCCCCTAGAACTATTTGCTCAAGCTCTATCACCTGGTAATAAAAGATGTTACTGCACCCTACAAGTGCCAGCTCTCTTATATAGGAATTGTCCCTCCAAACTGCGAATCCAGTCACAAACTATACAACCTTCCCCAACCATGGCAAACCACGACTTGAAATAAAGCCCTGTCTCACAGTTCACCTTCTCCTCTGGGGCTAAGCTTTAACCATGTCAAAATATTCACTAATCCTAGGCAAGTGGTTAACGGCTTCCAAGCTGGTGCTGCACAGTGCTGCTTGTTTGTTGCTGGAAAATCTCATTTCAAAAGCCAGAGCCTTGGGGTCCCTTGGCGCTTCTGCAAGGTCAGACCTTGGAACCTGAGCTTGTTACTGGCCCCAGTAACCATGGTCCTTTTCCCTGCTCCAGCTCCCTTGCTGATCATCTGGTTTATATCTTCCTTTTTGATACATCACCATGGAAACAAACCTTGGGGGGGGGGGGACCCAAGGGCAGCAACCCCCTGGAAACAAACCTTGGGGGGGGGGGGAACCATAGGCAAGCAGGTGGTTTTGTTTTCAAATATTATCTTTTCAGTTTTCACCCTTCCAGCTCTGCACATGTTGGGGGGATTCTTTTTCTCCATCTGCCACTAGATGGTATTGTTTCAGCAGGCCCTTTCCCAGCTGCTCTGCACGCTTGCTGAGATGCAGACCCCCAGAAAAGCAGTGGCCTCCGCAATCCCGCATTGCAGAGCACCCCGTCTGCACAGGGTCCCTGCTCAGTTTGAATTTCAACATGTGCTCCCTACACCAAATGTTCCCCAATGAACCAAGGGCAGCAGTTACACAACGGGTTGCGTTTTCATGTTGCTTTTCATCTTTTGTAGGCAGGCTGCAAGTCAGTCAGTTCCCAGGGACCAGCTAAAGGGGCTGCAGGACGAATGAAGCTGAGGAGGAAAAGATGCTCCAAGCACTTGGAGGTGTGTGGCCAGAGCTGCCAGACTAATGGCTTCCTCACTCCATTTTCTGAACAAACAGGGATCTCTTCACCAACAGGCAGTCCTCTCCACAGAGCTCACTGCTGGGAGCTGGGACAGCAGCCCAGGGGACAAACTGCTCTGTACGGGCTTTATTTTATATATTCTTCAAGCATCCCCTGGTGACTGTTGTTGAGGACAACGGCTTGGAACAGGAGATCTTTGATCTCATCTAAATTGGCAGTTTCCTCTGCTTGCAGCACAGTTTCTGCTTAAGGGCAAATTTTGTATTTGCTCTGTAATCCAGAAGGTAAGACGGGTCTGCAGTCTGCCTGGAATTTCAGAACACTTGATGTACAGAACCTGAAGCGAACGGGCAAGACTCTGTATGCTCCGGAGCTTTTAAAATAACCGACACAAAAATGTGAAAACAAAGCTTTTTTTCTCACGGCTGCAAAATTTTCTAATAGTTTTGTATTTCCCTTATGTACTCATGAAAGAAAAGCAGTTAAACATGCAGGAAATCATTCAGCAGAATTGTTATTAGTCTAGCAGATGAAATCATCAGTGTGATGAGATATGAAGTAATTTTATATTAAAAAATAATGACTTGGGCTGTTGAGCCTTGAGTGATTTGCTACTCTCTAATGATCGATATGCATCTTGATGGTAAGTTTCATATAAATGGGAGATTGTTTCACTTTTATGTTTCCTTGTTTTGTTGTTCTGTTATTAAACCATCTTATGTCATTACTTCTCCTATTGAAGGAGAAAACACGGAAGCGTTTCCAGAAGTGGAAAGAACATCATGGGTCTGGTGATTAAATGTTCACCGCACCTACATTCATATTTTTCAGTAATCTGATTTATATCTTAACTATGCACTGATTTTTTTTTGCCAAATTATTTTTGTTCACTGAGTAATCCATAAATAAACAAAACCTGTTCACACATCTGGGTTGGATTTTGTGAGTGGTTAGCTGAAGTTTAATTAGTTTAATTGCTTTTAGGAACCAGTTTGAAGTTTTAAGTTCATGTTACACTGCAAACCCTCCTTCCATCCTGCACACCAGTCCCCTTCTGCCCCCCTTATGCAAATCATCTCTCTTGCTGGCTCAAGCAGCAGTGGAATCAAATAAGAGGAGGGCTGTCCTGTTTTAAAAGTACATAAAATTGGTTGGTTTATAGTGAAAGTGAGAGCCAGACCTTCTCCTGTAAGTACTGAACAGCCTGAACTGTGCTGCAAGTTAACAAACTGGAGGAAGCCACCGCCTGAGTTATGTTAACTGCTGAGAAAAAGGATGCCTCTAACAAAATTCACCTTCTTTCTCATATACACTGGAGAAAACATAATAAAAGGTCTTACTATTCATAATCAGAAGGGAGAAAAGCAGTCCTGCAGACAGTGTTGCTCCTCCCTCCTACCCTTACATGCCATAGCCACTAGTGCAGTGTAGTGTGTCCATTGCCTGTAGCCCAGAGGAGGTAAAGTCACTCTGTAAGCCCTGAGAGGCAAGCACACAGCAGAAATTATCAAGAACAAAGCACTTGTTTCCTGATCTTACTGCCTGCAAGGAAAACAACCCTCTCTTACATTTCTTCTCTTCAAGGGTCATAGGTAGCAGGGTGCCATGCTGGCCCGTGAGAGAAAGATGAGGCCACAGTGCTGTGTCAAGTGCTGTGTGGCACTGCCACAAGGAGCAGGGCAGAAGCCACGGTGCTGGGCTGAAGGGATGCTGGGTGTCTGCACACTGCAGGAAAACATGAGGAAAGAGTACTGTGTGGAGTTAGTGACTCACACAATCAAGAGCTGGCATGGCAGAGTGGTAAGACAACAACGTGCTTTTACCATAAACGGGGAAAATACGTTATTGCTGTGGTATATGAGAGACAATGAAATGGCAGTGTTCAATTAAACCGCTTCCAGAGCTATTTTTTGGAAGCTTGCAATGCTTTGTGTGCCTGCTAGATCTGTTCATTGCATATAAACAATTAATTCCCGTGCAGACGAGACTGCTTGCATAGCACAGAGGTTGTAACACTGTGCTCTTCTGTTGAAAAGCTGGATTCAAGTCCATCCCTTGGCGAATATTTAAGCAGAGTATCTTCAACAGGAACATGAATTAATAGCTTAAACAGAGCGTCACTGTGGCAATGCTTAGTGGTCAGCCAGGCCACAGGAGAGTGAAATCTGTCTGAGTCCTTGATCTCTCATTTGCAGCACCTATTAGCTACGTTGGGGACTGTTTCGCTCCCATTTTTACCAGAAATTCAATCTTTGGCTGGAGAAGTAATTTTGGTTAACTTTAGTGCCAGGAGAGCAGGAAACCTGTAAGAGGAAAAAAACCTCCCTCCTAACAGAACAACATAGAGAATGCCTTAGCCCTGGCCTGTGTTTTTTCATTTATAGTGTTTTGTACTGATGAGTTTATTAAAACACCTCAATAACATTTTTTTTCTTTTTTTCATCAAGACCACTGTGATTTGCTGGAAAGCCTTGATTCAATACATTCAAGCACTGGTGCCCTTGACTGCAGGTTCACCACGCACAGACACTTTCCATCTCCGTCAAGCACTCTTAAGTGGCA